CATCTTACCAAGTGTAAAGTGAAGGATGATGATGATGTATGTTAGTTCCCTCAGCTTTGTTCTAATATATCAAAGTAGTAATTAAGTAGCATTTTATGATATATAGATTGCATGATCTTGATTATTTCTTCTTTCTCCGTCTGTTGTATTTCAAACCTGCAGATTTCAACTTCTCTCTTGATTTCTATTTTTCTTTCTTCTTATGGTCAACTCTTTACATTTCTACGTGGGAATATTATTAGGTGTAAAGTAGGGGACTCCTGGTGCCCTAAGATAGGGCCCCTTATGGATGGTCCCATTATCTATTTGGATAAAATCTTATCTTTAATTAAGCCCGTGAACTTATGCCATTTTTTCATATAAGTCTATTGAACTACACTTTTTTTTTTCCTTGATACATGGATGACCAGATAAAGAGTTATACAATAAAAAATATAATTTTTATTTAATAAACTTTTTTTATTTATTATAAAATTTAAAATTAAAACTTTTAATTTAAAGGTCAAAGTTTTAATAATTAAGTAGCATTTTATGATATATAGATTGCATGATCTGGATTATTTCTTCTTTCTCGGTCTGTTGTATTTCAAACCAGCGGATTCCAACTTCTCTCTTGATTTCTATTTTTCTTTCTTCTTTGTTGACTTCAATTTCCCCCATCAACTGATGAAGTTTTTTTTTTTTTTTTTTTTTTTTTTTTTTTTTTTTTTCTAAACAATTAGGGTATCTTCAGGTTAGTTTTCATATATAATGAGATTAATTTCTTTTTGGTACAATCAAAGATATACCATCTATATCGAAACTAAGAAATTCATTAGAAATTACTCCTTTAATCTTTTTAAAAAATCAAATCTTACTCAACAAGCAGGCACAATTGCAACTATGTTCATTGAAATATGACAAATGAACACATCTATTTGCGTTAAGAGAATAATAGGTATTATAGTGTAGTTCATAATTACCTTAATTTTACCATATGACCTTGCCCTAACAATAGCACAACCATGTATATACACGAGATACTATAATCTCTACCAACAAGAGCTTAGCCAATACATTATTTATTTTAAATTTGATCAAATATGAGTATATCATCATTTACATTTCATATCTCCACTTTTACACATAGATTTCAAATTATCTTTCTTTCCTTTTTTTTTAACTTGAAGGGCACATGTTTAAGGACAAAATTTTTTTATATTAATTGGCTTTAAAAAATCAGAGTTGATCTTTATTTAATCACTTGACTAATTAAAATAATCTATAATTAAAATAATCTATATGACTCTTTTTTATTATTTTCAATACAAATTAATATCAGAAGGATGTATAACTACATGTTAATGGCACAAATTGAAAAAATTCTTCAAGTTGTTATTTATAATTTATGAAAAACTATCTTAAGTCACTCTAAACAACCTCGGATCGAATCTTATTTTTAGCGATGCCTAAAAGTAGTTTAGTCCTCAATTGCCATAAGTTATCGTAGATTTGAGGTGACATGCAGTGTCATAAATTTTTTATTTAATACTTTTACAAACTTAAATATAGAAAGGCTATAGCTAGACCAAAAAGACTGAAAAGTGACCTTTTTTTAGAGTTTAAATATAATTATTTTTATAGCTGTATCATATAATTTCTAGAAGAAATTATGCGTATTACAAACAAAAAAATGATGCATATTAAAGTTTTAATCGGTGTCAAGTTATGTGAGTACTTGTTAAGTTACTCCCAGGGGATTCAACACCACTCAATAACAAGTAAGATTAAAGGTCAAAGGAAGGAGCTTGAGAGTTGGAAACATGTGTGGCCTGGTGCATTAGCCGGGGTGCAATATTCCTGTATGGATCTTCTTCTCTTTTCTGCTTCAAGTAAGCAATGCATCTATGTAAATACAGTTAATAACATTTCTCCCTATCTTTCAGTTCTTGCTTTCTTCCTTTTATATAATAAAACCAAACAAATAGATTTTAACGTTTCAATTAAAGCCAGCCATGAACCAAACCATAAATAAAAAATTTACTCTATAAATTAATGTAAACAGACTATATATGTACATACCTTGGGTTTCAGTTGGTTTCCCAAAATCAAAATAATATATTCCTGGAAACCTTGGTGCCAGTCATGGTTGGTAAAGTTGTTGGTTTGACACCTTGCCATCTTTCATTTCAAGATTAAAGAAAGCTCATCAAATGGACATTGAATGAATTTTGTAATTTAAGACTCGATCAGAATATATACCTCAATAACACAGCCTCTTCTGTCAAATCTTCTATAAAATCCCTAAAGTAAGGTATCTTCGTTTGATCACTATAATAAAAAATTACTTCAGCAAAATCATCTGCTCCAACAACACCAAATGCTACTATTTTGGCTCCGAATCTGGCAGCCATCCTCACAAACCTTCGGACTTTTCTGGTCAAAATAACTTGTATGCTTCACCTTGGAAAAATTAATTAATCAATCTGCCTAGCTACCTAGAGTTGAGTTATCACATGCTGCACAATACTATAGCTAAAAATTCAATATGTTACCTTCCTGTGAAGAGCAGCGCCCACCCCTCCAGGGAACAACAGGCTATGAGATTTTGAAGACATAAGCTTGTAGAAATTTGTTCCTGAAACAGGAACTGCCCCCATTAATCATATTGAGTCAAAGGTTGATACATCAGGTAACCTGCCTTCTCTCAATCTTTCAAACAGCAATGGATGTGCTATCCCTCGCAAGAGGATATTTCTCTGAGTAAGAAATTCAGATACCAAGGAAATAACTTCTAGTCCCAGTAACATGTGATAACCAATGTACAGGACGGGTCCCTCCAATGGAACCCTGGCAAGGCCCTTCACCACCTTCCCATCCTCGGTAGTTGAGAGCATCACAGAGCTAAGAGCAGCATTTAACCATCTATCTAGGAACAAAGTCAGTTGAGAAATTCAGAATCAAGACTTATATGTGATGGCACTGCAATTCAATTAAACATATATAAAATTCCTATGGTGAGCATGATAAGTGTCAGGTTTTACTGTCATCAATATTCCACTAATTAATCTTTGACCTAATATGCTCTTTTCTTGACATAACAATAAGCTCTTGTTATTCTGCGCCCTCCTCATGACAGAATACAACTGGTATGTCTCTAGACTTTTGGTACATGATTGACATTTGCTTTGTCCAAAGATGCTTACCTATTTGATTCATATAACTTCTAGAATTCAGGAGGTGTAGGTGGCATGTAATCTGACAACAGTCATGGTATTTTCCACAATGATAGAAGCTAGTTCCCTTGATGATTGTTACCAAATCAATACCACCTTCCTGCATGAGAGGCCAAAGTAACTATTTTATAACATCACAAAACCTTATAATCTAAGATGACAACTAGAGTAAAAATTAGGACATAAAAGGGAAAAAAGTGAAACTTCAGATGCTCAAAAGAACACCCTCCTCCTCTCAAGACCTACAGTTTGAGAGAGACATACCAGGACGAAAAAATGGTGGCTTTCATCAAACTTACGAATCTCACAATTTGGGAGTGCATGGCATAGTCTTTCACCTTCTTCTTCACTAGGAAACAATTGATCTCTTCCACTAGAAAACAAATGGTTAATTCAACCAAAGATGATTATGAGGATCATAAACTTCAAATTTGGACAGTCAACTTTGTTGTAGTGCTGCCCTAAACAGATGGCATTATAAGTTACATTACATTCGTCTGAATGACAAGATGCTCTTCAACATAGTTTGTGACAGTGCACATATTTAGGACTGTGATGATAAAAACTGCAAGTAAATATCTTTTCTCTCATTGCAACAATAGAGAAGTAAGCATTATGCATTTAGGTTATGAAGAAATATTTTTCAATCTTTCTTTGTTTATAATCTTTGATTCTGCCATTTTCAGTTGACTGCTTCTTTCAATAATTTCGTTTTCCTAACTTCATTTTTCTGTTTGGTGCATTAGCCACTAAATAGGAGAACCTCAAGTTTAGACAAAGCCACTTAATATTGATCAATAGCTCTTCAAAACTGAAAGTGAAATCAAGAAGTTACCTGCAAAGTAATAGCACTTCAGCTTTTGTGGCATGGAGATGAGAGTTGGAATATGCAGAAGCAGATTTCAGCATTTGTAGCTTCCATTCGAGCAATTCTTTGGGTAAGATTTCAACCAGAACCTGTGACTTAAAATCATCATTTATCTTTCTACAATTTGCAGCATGTAAATGAAAATCAGAATTTCTTCTTAATATGAACTAAAGAAAGATGTATAATGCACTCTAAAACACAGGAAAAGAGGTATATATGCTGATTTGCATTTACTGAGGGGTTAGATGATGCAGCAACAATATCCTGTGACAGCTTTCCAACAACAGATTGTCCCAGAGGAATGCCCTTCACTACATTATCCATCAGCATCCTCAAATGGTCACCTAAAGAAATGATTGACAACTACAAAAGTTAGAAACTGCAATTAATATGACAATCCAGACAGCATAGCCACCTACGTTTAAGGCATACTTCTCTTAAGATGCAAATAACAAGCCAAGAAAACAGAAGTTGAAGACCAAGGCAGCAAACCTGTGGTTAAGGTTAACATGGAATTTCTTGCCAAAAGAAAGAATTCATCTGGAATG